GCTCCGATTCTCCGACCCATCTCACGCTCCATTGTTCCCTCACTCGAGAACAAGGCCCCGAGATACTTGAACTCCTTCACTTGGATAAGGATGTATCCGTCTGAGCATAATAGGATGTAATGTCTTCCTTTGTGAGGGTTGACCAGTCTAGTTTTCCTGTTTGAACACTATTTACATTTCTGGTTAGCCCAGCTAGATGTTCGACATTTATTGACATAGCAACAGGTATATGATCAGTCGTTGCTGTCCCATACAGAATGCTCATACACTCAAGTGAAGCATGCGCATCAGCTGTACTAATACAATGATCAAGCCATGACGTAGTATGCCAGGCCTCGCTAATGTAGGTATAACTATCTGCAGGCAAAAGCACCTTGCTTGACAATATAAAATTGTTATCGTGACAGAACTGAGCCATATGCTTGGCAAATAATGAGTTCCTGTCTGAGATATCTGCATATCCCCAATGACATACAAACAAGAATAAGTATTGTTTTGAATAAAGGAATTAATGAAAGCAAGCCTATTTAGATATTCATCTTCATTCTGATGACATTCATAGGGTGTCTACACATTCAGAATAATAAATTCCTTGCCATTGTGAGTAAACTGTATTGCAATGGACCAGTCGGCACAAAGCCTAACCACATTTATTTATGAATCAAGGTTCAGCTTCTGCTTAATATTCATTGACCACTGAGTGCGTTTGAATCGTCTGTGATATCCATATAATGATGTGATACCTAAATTAAAGCATCTCTAAGCAGAATAGCCCCTTTAGCTGTCATTCACAATTGTATTCTGATAATGAGATCCTATATGGAAATGATGTCCAGAAAAAGGCCAGTCTGAACTTTTTATAACCAGAAGAAGACGGCGTCTCCTTGCCTGAAGGAATACAGTAATACATTATATCAGAGACAACCTGACGCAGGCACATTTATGCTGTGTAGTCCCATAGCGTCTACATGCCAGATGAGCACGATAACCACTAGGGCTGCTTGATTATGGCAAAAATCATAATCTCGAGTATTTGGGTCAATAATTGATATCATGATTATTAAAAACGATATCCATTTACTTTGAAAACATCCATTTATTGGAGGAAAACAGTGGTTTGAACAGTATGTTTTTAACAGTTGATTACCCTGAACTTTAAGTATAATTCAACTGAAAAACCAATTAAAAAAAATATGTATTTGAAAAAAAAGAAATAATAAAAAGATTATCGTTTTATTTCGATTATGTTATTTTCGTAATCGTTGCAAGCCATAATCGTAATTGCGATTAAAATACGATTAATTGAGCAGCCCTAATAACCACACAATTCCAAACAGCGGCCGATCCATTCCCTGTAAAATGACACATTGGCATCCACAACTACAATCCTGCAATCCTGCTCTGCTAGCTTAACCTAGTGGTGAATCGCTATTTGTCAGCAGTAACATTATTCACATGGTCAAACGTGTGCTGTTGTAAATAGAAACCTAAATAGTTTCTAGATTATTGAACCACAGGGAAAGATAATAAAACAGGAAGTGTGACGAAATGGATGACGTGAAATTACCCACTGGAAAGAGAGATTAAAACCCAATGGAACCAGATAAACGTTTTTTAAAGTTAAAAGGTTCAAGGCTAAAAATAGAGTGATATTAATGTTCACTCATACGAGTTGGAAATCTCTCTGCAACCCACACTGAAACCACAACATGGTATGATGGACATCTCTAACCACTCATTGAATGATAACATAATTGATGACAACATACCCAACCCCCCTCAAAGCTTTTCTCAGAATAAAAGTGTAGGAGAGACATTGTTTAATAGATCAGGAAAGTACAGGTCAGTCTCTTTATCACCCCATACCCTAAAAACCACCACTGTGGAAAACGTGTTCGCGCTGAGCAGCACAACAACATTTCCTCCAGATAAACATTAACAAAAATAGTCATAAGATTTTCCCTGACCAAAACTCATTTTTTAAACTCGTACCTGGCCAGTTTCCCCTCTCGGTACGTGCGTCCCCAGGGGTGTCTGTGTTTCTGCAGCGGCCAGACGTCCGGCAGCCAAAGGGTTAAAGACCCCTCCATGATCTCCCCCTCTGCACACGCTGGCTCGCTCTCCCGACAGTAGTAACACTTTCCATAGAAACATGTGTTATTACCTGGAGAGAGAGAGAGAGACAAACGGTACAAATAAATCCACTTGACCCCGACGTCTCCTCTCAATGATCAAATAGGAAAGAGGTGCAACATGTCTAGATAAGGAGGTTCTTTCAGAGGTCAATAACAAAGTGAAGAAGGATTTTATTATTGAAATAAACACTTCAGCTTAACGGAATGTCGCTTTCACGTTTTGTTCTACATCAAGAACATTTCCAAGGTCCATTTCCAAGCACTAAATCCTTATTTGATACATTTTATACTCATTGTTGTTTATACAGAGTTCCATTTTTTCTTCGAATGAGCACTCAATGGTTTATACAGTAGAAAATGAATTGAATGGAAACTGTGGTAAAGGGTGTGATAGTCTAGAGATTGGGGGTTTCAACATTGTGAGCAGATGTTCACAATCTATCTTGCATTGTGTTTTAAACATCTTGGCGTCATATAATTATAACCTGGTCGGATAAAAACCAACATTTTTTTCCGCATGGTTTGATGCCGGAAGTAGTTTTTTTGTTAACTGTGAACTTACTCTTTATTAATCACTTGTGCTGTGGACATATTGACACATTTGTGTAGCTGCCTGTGCCCTGTGAGGGTAGGTGTTGTTCTGTCCCCTCGCTGTAGTGTACATCACAACCGTAAAGGTCGTTACAGCGGTGAGTCATGTGAAGGTCAACACTTATTGACAGCAACTGAAACGTAGAGAATATAAAACATGTGGATGTAGCTGGTCAACCAGTCCGGGAACACTTTGCATACGTTGTGTTAAAACCCACAATGCAGAACATGAGCTGCTGACTATGTTACAAAAACGCTGACATTTGAAATATCTTTTAATCATCAAAAACAGTAGACTATATGTCGAGACTGTAGCAGACACTCTTCTAGTGAGCTGGTTGAGATCCGGTGGTCTGTGTTTAACACATTAATGTCTGTTTGCCGGTGTTGAGTTAGACACAGGTGAGCATACCAGACCTCCGTGGCCTGTTTCTCATTTATTTCTATTAGAATATCCCCTGACCCACCAACTGGTCAAGCTGCATTGTGGGTATTGTAGGCAGCAGATTTGGACGAGAATTAACAATACATGGAATACAAAAATACTATGTCTGGTTTTAATGCAGAGATTTTTTCATTCTTGTATACGACTACTCATCATGAGATAATGAATGCTCTAAGTAGGCAGCAATATGGATAGAATCAGGGTAAAGGTAATTTGATATTCAAATATAAATTGGTTTCATGACATAGTACCTTTTCTGGACAATGAATAGAAAAACATCAACTTGTATACAAAATAACCCAAATGACATCATCAGGGTTGTCTTCTCACACCTTGAACTGCTTTTTGTGTGTAACATTGCTGGAGTTCCCCTTTAACAAATGTAGCATTTACTGAAGTATTAGCTTGCAATACATGTTATCCATGTATCTTTGAAAGGATCAGTTTTGGTTTTATACTCAATATCAACTGTATTATGCAAAACCCTCACTAAACAGGATTAGGCCAATTAGTCCTGGTTTAATTTCCTGAGAAAAGTGAAGTGGACAGAGAGAAAACTGAAATCAGATTGTGTGGGAAAGTGGAGAGATGAGTCAAAAGAAAAGGAAATGACCCCTACAATAACACACCTACCTCACTTTGGAACTTCTGAAAACAGTCACTTATCAACTATAAAGTTGAGGGGATTAGAAAAGGTGGACAGGTGCTCACCCTGCATGAGGAAGGTGCTCAGCAGCTGGTCCGTGGCGACCGGCTTAATCTCTGTTCGCAAGTTGATGTATCTCCCAACCACTAGAGGAGCTCTCCTGAAGCCCAGGATCCTGCAGAGAGGACGGATGTAACGGAACATTATTACACAGCAGCTCTAATGATAAATCAACAAAGTTGTCACTGATAATTATTTTGACACACCTGTCCAAGTGAAAAGCAGCCACCTCTGCGTTGTGTCGGTCATACCCTGCGTATGGCTCGCCTTCCACCACGTAGTCTCTGGTATATCTATGGAATGGTAGAAAGGACACAAGAAAGAAAGCTCCATCACACTTAGAAAGGAATACTTTACCTTAATGGTTGTTTGTTTCATACTTGCTGACTCTGTTTTGTGCTGAATTTCTTGAAGAAAGCTTGTTTTTTTTCACAAGCATCCACAGTGAAGAAATAATTTTAAAACAAGGAATATTGTTGAAGAGTTTTAGTAAAAGGTGGCCTTTTTCACCTAAACTTCTGTTTTAAATCTCTCCACACATCTTAAGTGTGCAAAGGCCTGCTGCTTGTCCGTGTGAGTACTGTTTACGCAGGAGTGTGTTTATGGTAAGGTTTCAGTGAAAATGCATGTATTGAGAATAGTGATCATTCAACTGGATCTATGACACTTATATATTATTATACATTTTCCACTTCTTATACTGGGAGTTTTTAAATGTATGTTTTTGATGTACACTTTTGCTGTTCTTAAATGCAACCCCTATTTGATTGAATTCCTCTACACTCGCTGTATTTAAATTATTGATTTCTCATGGAGGCATGCAAAACAACAAGTTTTCATCAATAATTCAAGGTGAGTAGGTGACATCCAAATGGTCCTTTTACATTTCTTTAAACATAAAATATGAGTGTGTTATTCTGTTATCAATAAATCTGACCTCTTGGGCTTGAAGACCACTTTCTGCCCCCCGTCCAGCACCAGCAGGGCTTTGAGCTGCGTGCCCTTATAGCCCACGTCTGCTCTCTCTACCCTGGCACTGCTGAGGGCCATGAGCACAGCAGCCAGCTCCGGGGTCTCCTCGGGGTAAACCTCTCTGGGGCCCACCCACTGGCTCGCTATCTCCCAAGGAGACTGGAGGGTGTGGGTGAGGCGGGCCGCCCGAGACAGCGTGAGGCCAGCTTCCATCTGTTAAGGGTGGGTGATAATAACACTTTATGTACAATATGTGTAGTAGAAGTGAATATATATGCATATGTACACTATATCTGTTTTCTTGTCTTTTTTATTACTGCCGATTTTTATTCATATTTTCATTCCATTCTAATGTAAATACCGTAATATTTTTTATATTTTTTCTAGTTCCCTACCTGTGTTTTAATTCATGTTTTATTTTTATGTACGCACCATGACATCAAGTCAAATTCCTCGTACGTGTAAACCTACCTGGTAATAAATCCGTTTCTGAGTCTGATTTCTTTGGAAGCTTGAATCTTTATGGTTTTTGCACTAACTGTAAGTCGCTTTGGATAAAAGCATCAGACAAATGAAATGTAATGTAATATTGCAAAAGTTTTGTCGCTACAATACTGATATGTACATGTCTGCCAAATGCTCATAAGCACTGTTGAGTATGGTTACTAGCCTTAGTCTATAACTATCATGTGCATCGTATTTTATTTTTCTCCTAAATGACAGCCCTGATGTTTTTAATAGATGTTTTAAACTACGCTGAAAAGGAAAACAGCTGACTGGCACTCTGACCTTGCGAAACGCTCTCAGGTCTCGTCGGCTGGCCACAGATCCCTCGCCTCCATCCAGCAGGAAGATCTTGGCCAGGCCCAGCAGGAGGAGCACGGCACACAGCACCACCACACGCTGTTTGAGCTTCATCTCCTCACCCCTCCTCACCCGACGCTGTGTGTGTCCCCCGCAGCGAAGCCCCCTCACCCCTGATGCATGTCCCCTGTAACTCCAATTCGCCGCCAAGCCTGTGACGTCAGAGGGACTCTTCTGAAGGACAGGAGCTGCTGTTCTCTTGTAGAAGCTGAGCAAACGGGCACCTGGAGGGAGAGAACGAGACAAAGTTAAGGCAGTGGAGACAGAGGAGAGCTAGGAAAGGGAACAGATCGGGAGATGAAAAATGTACTGTCAATAATGTGCAGAGAGAACCGATTGATCTTGCTTGTTTCCACTCCGGGCAGATGATCACCCAATACTGCAGTACAGCTGAAGCCTGTCCAGGATACATCAGGACGACACGGTCTGCACGGAGTGTGCAAAACTTGAACTGTGTGCATAATCAACAGCAAAGTGTGCTTTGGCTGTAAACTGAACGCATTGTTATCCCCAGTTTTGTTACTAGCTGTGGGACAACATTTACAGCACTCAAACCTTCATATTTCATATCATCCCTCCCTCTATAACACTGGATTTGGAAGAAGGAGGAACTCTGCCTCTCTGTAGACCCTGCCTGTTTCTAGGGAGCAGATGATGGACAGGTAGTGCTATGGTGCAGGTGGTGGTCCCATCACAGCCCCTCTGGCTTGATGGTCTAACGTTGGAAAACAAAAATTAACCTAAGTCATGTTCCTCTAGTTAGAAAGCTTCATGTTAGATTCACCTGCTGAAACATGTCTGCTTTGTATGTTGTGAGCTTTCCTTCAGGTAGTTAAACTACTACAACTGCCACATTTAGCTGGCAGGTAACCAACTCTGCTGTGGTTAATTAACACCAACAAACACAGGTTAATACTATCTTATCTGTGACAGAACGACACCAAGCGAACCATTAACAGAAGTGGGAGAAGTACTAAGATCTTGTGGGTGAATAGGAATACTCTGTTACAAATAAAAGTCCTGCAATCAAAATGTTACTCAAGTAACAGTACAAAAAAGTATTAGCATCAAAATATACTTCAAGTACTTATTATGCAAATCGGCCCATTTCAGAATAATATTTTTTATGTTTGGATTATAATTATTGATGCATTAATGTGTTTATCAAAGCTGGTAAAGAAGTAGCTAATTGTAATGACTTTGTATACTGCAGTGTAGCTTGTGGATTTACTCCAGGTGTAACTAAAGTCCTTTTTAGGTGCTGAACTATTTCACATCATTAATCCAAATCTGCAAAGTAACCAAAGGTGTACATGTAATTGATTAAAACTACACTTTTAACCTCTGGTTTGTAGTGGGGAAGAAGTAGAAAGTAGCTCAAAATGGAAATTCTCTGGTAAAGTACAAGCACCACAAAATTGTGCTCGAGTACAGTACTGGAGTACATGTACTTAGTTACTTTACACCACTGGCCATTAATGGACTCTAAATAGTAAATTCCAGTTTCGCTCGTGTTGACACAGCTCTGCCAAAACAGGTTTGGCCACGCAGGCAATCTCCTCTCACACAGTCGCTCTTTCATTATGCACTGCCCTGTTTAACACCAGAGAGGAAACGGTAGCCCAAACTGACTACACACAAGCACCTAAAACCTCTCAAACATGGCTCCACTGAGATGCTTTCTACGAGGATAGTTCCGCATTAGCATTTTTGTGTCACCATATCTGCAATAAACAATCACATATATGAAGACAATGCTAGCTGCTTAGCAAGCTTATGCACACCTTGCTGTAGGTTAGCTAACGCTGGCAGCTAGCTAACGTTACAGTACGTCGTCTGTTGTTTTTTCTGCTGCAGACCAAGCGGGCTTACCTTATGGCCATATGACGTTCACCGGAGAGATTCAAATGGCCTGTCAAGCCTGCAATACTGACTTTATTTTTGTCTAGATGGTGCTTCCGCTAAAAGTCACGGTGGTTTATCATTTCCTCAATGCCCCGGTAGCTGCCTCTCCTCCGCCCTTTTCCATCGATTCCTTCTCCGGCCTGCTTGTCCACTTCCGAAACATTTCCTCCCGCTGCAGGAGCTGCAGGCCGCCAGCAGCCGGCAGTGCTGCCCTGTTTACAGCCACTGCTGGGGGAAGGCATTGCGATACATGCAAGATTCATTATGCCAAATTAGAGGATGAGCATATACCCTTAGCTACCCAACATAACACTTAGATGTGTATGATGTGCAATTTGTATGTCTCAAAAATAATTATGTGACCTTTTCAGCATGCTTGCTTTAGTATTATTTAATATCTGATCCGTTTATTTCTGTAATTGTGCTTGTGTTTAATTGTAAGGCTAAGTCTATCACTATGTAATACTTCTCATTTGTTAAGTGTGCCAATTTTTATACAATGCCTGTATTGTAATGCATCTCAGTATTGTATTTTTTACATTTAAGACCCTAAGTAACTTATTGTACATGACAGGGTCCCAGTATTCTCTTCCTTGGGTCTTTGTGTTGAGAAACTCTGTAACAGTAGACTAAACATTATTTACTATTTATTTACTTTTTTCTGTTATCTACAAGAAAAATAAATAAAAATCGTGCTTTTCCTTTTTAAAATATCACAAAGAGAAACCTTGCATCCCCTTTGATAAACCCACAGCGGCTCAGTTAGTTAGCAATAAAAAGGAAAACACTGATTTATGTGATTGTAACTTCAGGCTTATGCGTCATAAATAAAATATTACAAAAATACTGACCGAATAAATTGCCAACACAAGTCCAGTAACTTAAGTTTGTTATGAATTGTTATAGAAGGAGCAAGACTAACAAAGAAATGAGACCGACTCTGCAGGAGAAATCCCTTCAGGCGACTTCCCTCACAGCTCCAGTAGTTCCGTCATCCATACTGCTCTGCAACAACTCAAACAGCAGCTTGGAAAAATGCTGGAACTGATTGTATTTAAAAAAGCATTTAACCTTGTAATACAACTCTGATCAAATACACTCAATAACACACTCCACTCAAAGATAAACAGTCACACAATCTTCAACAGAACAATGAGCATGGAGCAGATGTGTGGAGTAAAAAAGGGCAGAGTGTTTATTGGTTCTCAGTCTTCACAGCAGGCAGCGCATCACTCAGCAGGGAGGTCACAGCGCCGCCACAGTCATGACACGGGCAGACAGAGACAGACACACACACAGAGCCAGGTAAAGGTCAAAGGTCATTACACATCACCCTTTTTGATGACGTCCTTGGTAAACAGTGAATGATGCCTGTCCAAATTCACATTGACTCCACTACTCCACCAAGTCAGAGGACAAACGTATAGCATAACCACTCTGAACACACTTCCTGTCGGAAATCTTCATGTCAACTGTTAAACATTTTTCGTGAATATTAAAAGAATGAATTCAAAAGGCAGACTCACTCAAAAACAGGTAATACAGGGAATATTGTGCATTTGTTGACAGTATGATCAATTTAAGGGAAACAACAAAAACTCACCACAGAAACTGGATTTTTTTTTCGAGCATCAAGTTTCTCTAATAACCACAAATTGAATTTTCCACTCGCATCCCAAGATAGACCATCGCGGGGTCATTATGTTAGCAGTGATTGGCCGTGAAATCTAAGAAGTGAGTCAGCTAAAACCGCAAAACATCCCAAAATTAAACATGCGTTTCCATTATTTTGACCATAGACTGTACATAAATGATAATACAAAATAAAACTGTGTAAACTCAGATTACAGTGAGGAAAAAACTCACAGAAGCGCTCAACATGATCTGGGTCATTCTTGCAGGAAAGATTGTTTAACCCAAATTGATTGAAATAAGCCTTCCAAGATGCTCCCCCCAAAACCTGGTTATGTATGTAATTCACACTATCTCAATTAACATCAGATAAAGCAAATATATATGAAGGGAAGTGTGATGAGATGTTGACTGTCTACATCTGGTTTGGTTTTAACGAGCTCCTCCTGCTTTTTTTGAGCCTCAATTGGTGTTTAACTGCACTAATCTGTCAATAGTTCGCAAATGGCAGCAGGTTAAGCTCCACCAACACAGGTAAACCATCTCTAAATCCTCTAAACTCTGCTTCACCCATTTCATTTACAGACCCTTTGTATCCTCCATGGTGCTTCAGCTCTGTGATTTTGTCACGTATGCAGCTCAAAGCTCTCTCCCAGACCACAGTGGACACATAAGTACCATTTTCAACTTCTTTCAGAACACAAACCAGTGTGGAGTTGTGGCACTCAGAGGATTAGGTAGCTGTAACGCTCCAGCAGTGAACGACAGAATTATGTCTTAGAAAAATAGAGAAGTGTATACAGGCACACAAATGCATACACATATTAAATATGCCCGTCTTTGGCTTACTCATTCACTCATCCACAGGTTCATCCTTGGCCATCTTTTCTTTACTTAATTTACAAAGGACTTAACATCTCTTTATGGGCATTAAGCTGTCTTTGATTCGGCTTGTTTTTGTCTGTTCGACCGTAAAGCGTGAATTGTTGACTTGTATATGGTGCTAAGGACAGTTGTAATGCATCCGTGTGCCTCTATTGACTGAAGAAGACTAACTAATGTTCATTAGGGTGCTGCGAGTATGTTCACCTCTCCATCCTGTAACCCCTTATCAACGACCTGAAACACTGAGCTAAATATACCCCATGATAGGTGGGACATTTGTTTTTTCTACATACTGTAATACTACCGTTTGTACAGTTCACGTGGAGCATTGAAGGGATTGTGATTTTGGGCAAAGGATTGTGTAAACATACATTGTAAACAGCCATTTAAAAAAAAAAAAAAGGTTAGAATTTGATGAATTTTAGAGGGTGATAAGCTTCCCATCATCGTCATATCCGTCCTACCGATCATGTCTGTATGTCCATCGAAAAACAGACGACAACAGTCTCTCATCACTTGGCACTAATCTTAACCATGGTGCATATTCCAAATCAGATGTAACACAGTAAGGGCATAACATTGAGCCGGGTCCTGGTTATAAGGGGCAAAAAAGAAGACATCAAATAAAATTCACATGTACATAAAATATATGTTCAAAAAAACGGATCCAAAAGGGGAGAAAAACACAAAAAATGTAACATTCAAATGTAACAGACAAAGCTAAATTGCTGTGCGGTCATCTACTACACGGTAATACTTTGAACTGCACAATCCCTCCCAAAAAACAAACTAACAACACAAAACAATATTAACAAACAAGACTTAAAGTAGACTCTGTATGGCTCCAGGTAGCTTTGAATGTCTGCTCCAGACCAGAGGCTCGGACCATACCAAGCAACAAGAAGATGATCAGAGGGGATGAAATTATGAGTCTTTAGTTTCTCTCTCTCTCTCTCTTGGGCTCTTTCACAGTTTCAAGTCTTTAGTGTTTAGTATGTGTGTGAGTCTGGTCAACCAAGCGTCGCAGACAACACTGGAGAACATGAAATACATGTTTGTAAAAGGGTTAACTCACCAACACGTCTTAGCTTAGATTCTGGGCTCATCGTACCTTTGTGGAACATAGACAAGATTCCTGTAACTTATGCAAATTTGCCCATTTATACCCAACCCTGCAGAAAGAATATACAGAACACTTAACGAGTATATGAGAAAAGGGGGGAGGGGGGGGAGTGTTATGTAATAAAACCTAGAAACATTCAGAAAGTGTGGGGACTGCTTTTGCTGGGATCGATTGCGAATCAGAGCCCTTACGTTTTTACTTCGACGTGATCTAATAGTAAAGGTGGTTAATAAGCCTGTGACTCCAAGCCAACACAAGTGAATGAAGAGAACAACAATTTAAAGTGTGAACCGAGTAGGTAAAAAAAGCCTTCTCAAACCCTCCAAAGTCCAACGGGTTAGTCCGATGTGAGTGTGCGTGTTGTGATTGTGGGTCCAGCCGATTAAAAACGCGGGAATCTTGCATTCGAGCATGGCGGGGACACAAAACAAAAGTAAACCCCCTTTTAAAAAAAATTCTGTCCATCCGAGGACAATCCATCTGTGGGAGAGGAGAGGAGGAGTCGAGCGGCTCCACTGAGGTGCTGGACAGTAAAAACAAAAGACACTGAGAGCAATGGGAGACACACACACACACACACACACACACACACACACACACACACACACACACACACACACACACACACACACACACACACACACACACCAATCATCACGCTGACACATTGACAGCTGGAGCAACATGTCGAGTGGAGGCGAGACGGCGGCCATTAATAACCTCCGTCACATGACCAGGGAGAAGAGTGGGGGGGGGAGTCATGGACGCTGATCTTTAATCAAGTGACGGGGCTGATGGGTAATGAATATATTGTGTGTGTGTGTGTGTGTGTGTGTGTGTGTGTGTGTGTGTGTGTGTGTGTGTGTGTGTGTGTGTGTGTGTGTCTCACCATGCTCAGAGTCTGTCAGCAAGAAGACATCAGGATGCTCTGGATCGTCCGCCATCATGGCCATTAGACCCACGATACACACGCTCTTACTGGACGTCGACTTGAACTGAAAAAACCCCACAATTCATTGTTTTTCTCTCATGAACACTGTTTACGTCACCTAAGAAGACAGCATGTTCTTAGGTAAATCACACAAAACACAGGTGTGACTGAAGCGTCTGGATCTCGCCTGTGAGCCTGCGTGTGCAATCCACAAGGTTCTCATTAGCCTGTGAGTGACACGCAGGACCGCAGTGATGTCATTGGTTTCATTATTCAATGAGTGCTACCATGTGTCTGTCCCCTCGCTGTGCCAGACCCCCTTCCAGACCACTCATTTAGGTTCTCTTCCAGGTCTTATCGTCCGGTTCTGAATCCATGCTCTCCTCTGAGCTTCTGTTCAGTTTCACTTTATGTTTAACTGCTTAACTGATGCAGTCCAAACACACACAGCCAGATCTGACTTTCTTTACAATGAGTAAGTGATGGCTATCATGTGTGTTTTGGGGGCATTTGTTACATTGACTCTCCCTTAAATTTAACAACTGCAGTAGTGTTTAGTTATTGTCCTCACCTTTACAAATACATTTCTTTTTTATCCCCTGCAGAA